TTGTCTATCATGGGCATTCAGGTACCCTTCAGTTTTCTGGCATTTATCATACTTCTGATGACATGCTGATTTCTACTGCATCGATAGACCTTTTGTGTAGAGCACATCTGACACACACCCCACTTATACACTGTACTTACATGCACTTACTTCATGTAGCCTTTGTTTTCATTTCATTGGCACACAGCCCACTTCATTTCATTATTGACACATGTATTCATTCTGAATGCAGGGTGGTTCCTGCAGTGTGCGGGGGTATGGTTCCACTGCCGCGAGGGATTGGTACGCTGAGCTCCCGGAGGGCGTCAGACACTTGGTAGATTTGGCGGGGTTCGGCCCCTTCTGTGTCGGGTTGTCACGTTGTCCTGCCAGGAGGACGCAGATGGCAGCCTTGGTAGAGAGATGGTGGGACACCACCAATTCCTTTCATTTCTCTGCTACTGGGGACATGACCATGACCCCTTTTGACTTTGCTGTATTGACCGGCCTTGACGTCGGAGGTTGGTCCATCCCCTACGACGAGGACATGGGCGAGTGGGAGGCCGCCTGGACGTATCTGTTGGGGGCTAGACCACCTGTTGATAGGGTTTCAGGGAGAGTCCGATACACTTGGTTCTCTTCCCATTTTCGGCGGGCGGAGATGGTGCCCGAGACTCCCGAGGAGACAGAGCAGTATGCCCGTGGCTTCCTTATGTTCCTCTTCGGGACTACCCTGTTCGCCGACAGAGGGAACACAATTGGGCTGTACCTGCTGAGCGCTCTGGTTGACCTATCACAGGTCAGTAGATATGATTGGGGTGGCGCCGGCTTGGCTACCCTTTACTTTTATATGAGCGCGACCTCCCGCGGGCGGGGCGACTTACTTGGCGGCTACTGGAGATCCTGGGAGGTACTTTCTGTCCCTTTGATTTACATTTCTGCTTCTCATTACTTGTACATTGCACACACAGCGCACTTTTACAGTCTGTATTTTGCTCTCAGCATTTCGTACTTACATTCTGCATTGCTTTTCTCAGCTATGGGTCTATGTATACTTCCCATCATTAGCCCCAGAGCTGGAGGTGGTAGGGATTCCCGTGACCCCATATTCATTGATATTCGAGGGCCCGCACCGGCCGAGGCCTCGAGAGACCCTCCTTCGCCTGCGACAGTATTTCGACACGGTGCGACATTCAGAGGTACCTCAGAACTTTCAGTTCTTTTCATTTTCATCTTTGATTTCCTCTGTACATTCTGATTTCTGATAGGTTTATGCATTTATCATCCGCAGATTACATGGCAGCCTTGGGTGTCCCTGGGTGACGGCCTCCGTCTTCAGTACATCGGAGCGTCGGACATCTCCCAGTATAGGGTCCTGCTTGAAGGGCCGGTTGGCAGGGTGTGGTTCCTGGGGGAGCGCTTTCTGCGCCAGGTATGGGGGTATCTTTCTCAGGATATTCCCGCAGTACCCCCAGCCAGTATGCGGACCGTTGACAGACTCTCTTACTCA